TCATGCTATTTCCTACCTCCTTATAGCACTGCTAATGTTATTAGTATTAGTGATATCATATGCAGCCAGAAGACCACACTGGGTCTTCCTTAATTTAACTGAGATGGGGGGGGGGGAGCAGGGGTCAGAAAGAAAGTTAGAAACATGAACAGAAATTAAGACGGAAAGTTACTGTCTTTAGCAACATGAAAGGTTCTGCAGTGCTCTGGAAAGGCAGAACCGGGGCCGGCAGGGAGCTGGACACTGAGATTGGTTCCCCACTTCCCTGCGCTAGGGCTGTGGCCCTGGGCAAGTCACCAAACTTCCCTGGCAAAATGGGGTAAGCGGACTTGCTCTAGTCCTCAGGTCTGCTGTGAGGACCAGAAATGAGGTCATCCATCAAGGCATTCTGAAAACCATAGGAAACTGCAGAAATGTTCCAGACTGTTTTGAGGTGACCCCAGACTGTGACCTGGGTAAGGACAGACTCCCGCAGGCTCTGTGCCACTGCGAGGTGTCACAGTGTTTGCCAACAAGGAGGGACTCGGTCACTGCTGCAAGAGTGAGCGAACGAATGACTACAAGGGGCCCTAAAAATGTCCTACTTATTGACTGCATAGATTCTGACCACAAAGTTTGCTAACGGTGGAGAAAAAGGAAGTGTAAGATTTGAGAGGAATTAAAAATTGATCAAAATCCAGTGACTGCTGACCCACAAGGACTCTCTCCTAGGCCACAACAGCGTGGAGCCCACGTGACCTTATGCGTACTTTCCATCTGTTCTGAGAACATTCATAACCAGAGCTACTGTGAATGCAGTCAGTGTACATTTTTCTTTCTAAGTTATAATAAAAGCATCCTCAGCCACTGGAAAACCATAGCACTTGAGTCTGAGACACTGTATTTACCCTGTCCTCGGGCGGTGGGTGCATGGGTGAGCCCTCCACTTCACCTGCCCCAGGCCACCATGAGCACTGAGCTGGCCAGAGGGTTCTTAAATGATGAACCGCCTACACAGACTGTGGCTTGCTGGGAACACAGAGCAGGATTGCGACATTCACATCTTTGTGACGTCTATTTTATTATTGTCTGCCCCAGGCAGAAAGCAGAGCTCAGGAGGCAGGGATCTAGAACAACTCCAAGCCCTGAGGAGGTACTGGATAAACGATGATGCATGAAGGGATGAGTAAGTGAGCAGCTGAGACTCTCATGGGTAAAAGTGAAGCCCCCTTCTTCCCTGCCCCCACAGCTGTGCCCCGATAACATGACTCACCCTCCACTCAATTCCTCAGAGAGGTAGTTCCCTGACACCCCTCCACCGGAAGGCTGATGTGACCCCTCCTAACCTCCCAGCGCCTCCATACTGTCTGCTGAGGTCACCAGTGGCTCCCCAGAGCCTCGTATAGCACCTGACAAGCAGCTCAATCAGGGAATTGGGGAATAAATCAATGAAGGAATGGGGCAAAGCTTTCAAAGTGCAGATGGAAAGCAAACAAACAGAAATACTTTCCCCAAGGAAGGGGTTTGCAAACTCCAACGTCAACGGCCCCAGTGGGAAGCGGGTCAGTGATGTGGCTGGCAGGGGACAGGGGCCGGCCTTGTAGGAACCAGGGCTCAGAGTTACCAGAGCTTCTCAGTTTTCAAAAGAACCAAAGACCTGAGATTTCTGACTGACTTCCTGGTTTTTAAATCTTGATCATCACGTCTTTCTTTTTTCTTCAAGAACACTGGTGGGCCCTGGCCGTTTGGCTCAGCGTATAGAGCGCTGGCCCACGGAGTGGAGAGACCCGGGGTCGGTTCCTGCTAAGGACACATAACTTGGTTGCAGTTTGCCCCCATCCCCAGTTGGGGTCGTGTGGGTGGCAGCCACTCGATGTGTCTCTCTTACATTGATGTTTCTCTCTCTCTCTCCCTCCTGCTCTATCTGAAGATAAATACAAAAATGTCCTCGGGTGAGGATAAAAAAAAAAAAAAGAACACTTGGATCAAGCACCACACACCTGTGGACCGAATCCAGCCTACAGCCAGTGTCTGTCACCTCCACCCACAGGGAAGAGCTGCTTCAACTCCAGGAACGTCAGGGCATTAACTCCTTCCCCTGGCACATGTCTGCTGGGAGCATGAGCAGCTGAGACCCACCCCACTGGTGCCCACCCAGAGCATGTTCCCTTTCAGAACAAGTGCTGTGCGTTCCTATGGAACAGCCCCTCCCCTTGCTAGTTCTGCCCACAAGCTCACCCCAGGGAGCTCCCTAATCCTTTTTCCTGGCCCTCCAAATTCAATGGCCTCCTCCAACCCCACTGGACAGGCCCCAGCCAGCAAACTGACCCTCTGCTGTCCTCCTGAACCCAGACTGTCCTGATCCCCCATGAGGCCTCAGAGCAGAGATGACTGGGAACAACCCAACCTGAGGCTGGCCTTTCCGTGTCTCTACGAAGTGGCAGCCCCTCACAGGAGGGCACTATGCATGGCCTGCAGGCCCACCACAGCCAGGCCCTGCTCAATAACCAGATGTACTGAAGAGCAGCCTTCCCCACAGGCTCAAGAGGCCGCTGCTCACCAAGGATGGAAGTCTGGGCAAGTCTCAGGGCCCTACAGATGGATACTGTTTTCTTTTACACTACAAAGGCCTTAGATTCCTTAAGCCCCGAGGAGTGAAAGTCCTGTTTTCAGAAAGAAGAGATTATGAACACATGTAAGCAACACTGCGGTTGCTTTAAGTCAACAGAAACGAGTAACAACGATCGTTTACTGGGTGTCAGGCTCCATGACTAACCAGACTGCTCACTTGCTAACAAGAGTCCTGCTTCACCTAAGGACCTTTCCTTTGAATGAAACACTCTACTGGCGACTTACCAGCAGGTCCATTTAGACAACTCCAACAGAAACCGAACTGGAAATCTCCTTGAAATGCAAAATGAAGTCCACTTACAGTGACCAGCAGACACCACCAGGAAGATGTACCCACCACTTCAGGGGTGCTCGTCTTCCCTGACGAGCAAAGACCTTACACCGGAGGGCTGGACCTGTGCTAGCTCCACATGAGGTGCAACCTTGGTCTTGCCAACCTCAGAACTTTCTTGCTTAGCTGCCTCTCACCAAATGCACCTTCCTCCTGAGCTATCCATGGCCCCTGGTCAGCCCCTTCCCTTCCCTTCCCTTCAGAGCCAAACATGAACACTGTCCCTGCAGAGCCTTCCCCATCCCCTCAGCTTCAGGGGCCTCCCTTCCCTGTGCCCACAGCCCCGACTCCTGTAACAGCACAGTGCCTGCAGCTGGCAGCCAGGGCCATGCTGGTGCGGGCTCCCCCACCTCAGACAAGCAGGCACACCCTGCTCTTCACATCTTACTCCAGCTCCTGGCCCAAGGAGCACCCCTAGTGACAGAGGCTGGCCTCAGGCCTCCTTTCTCCAGGTAACAGAGAAGCAGATGCAGATTTCCGTTCTGAGGTCTCAGCTGTGGAAAGCAGCTCATGGGATGACAGAGGCTTTTCATTTCACTCCTACTACTTTGCCACGATGTTCACGTTTTTGACAATGAACATATCCTAATAATCAAAGAGTATCCTGCTAATGTTATTTTTAAAAGAAATTATCCAAGCTTCCCACCAGTACCCTTCTGAGACACCATGCAAAGGGTTCCTGAGACATGCTTCACAGACTAACCGAGCTATTTCTGGAACAGCACACATGCAGGGAAACTCATGATCACTGGTCGAGACGGAAGAACAGTGAGAAAAATGCCCAAGAAGCAGTGCCTGAAATCAGGGGCCCTGCCCCTAAGGGAGGCGCGGGGCTCCGGTCAGCCGGCCAGGCATCACTGCTGAGCCCGCTGCTCATGCTGGGTGGCCTGCAGGGACTCACCGAACGGCCCTCAGCCTGAAAAACCGGGACCACGTTCTCTCTCACAGAGAATCTGCAAGGACTTAATGAGCAATACATTTTAAATGCGTAGCACAGAGCCGGATATACGGAAAACCCTCAATAAAGGCTACAGAAAATACCCTTCCTGTGCTTAAACCACAGCCTGCAAGTTACAGTCTTCTGGGTCCACTCCCGGGCGCATCTCAGGAAAGTATCCTGGCTCAACCTGGGGAACAGGAGCAACTTCCAAATCAGTGCAACCTGCCCCTCTGCAGCCCCTGAAAGCCTGCCCTGGCTCCGCTGCCAAGCTAAGGTGGTTCCCCTGGCTCCCCAGGCTGTTGGGACAAGCAGCTGCGCCCAGACAGGGGCCCTGGGCTGCCCGCCTACCTCACCTTGGACCTAAGGGCTCGCCCGCAAGGTGTCTCTGGCCAGGTGAGCCCTGGGCCCCATAATCCGAGCCTAACTGAATCTTTGGAGACAATTCCCGGTACAGGCAAAACCCAGGTGAGTGGAAGGCAGCTCCTCCGAGATTTCTAGGAACACACAAAGAGAGGAGGTTCGCGTGGAGATTTATAATCGCCCCCAAACCCAACCAGCTCCCCACACACCCTGCTTCCAGAGCTTAGCTGGAGACCAGAGGGAAGCTCCACGGAGCCCTGGAAATGCCCAGACACCTCCCGCCCGCTTCCTTTGAAGCCTCCGAAGCAGATACTTCTGGTTAAATGTAAACTCGAGCCTCGCTACAAATGACACATTTTATGGCTCGGCTCTAATCGGCGTCTAAAAGGCCACCGCCCGGCGGGGCTCGGGGCGCTGCAGCCACTCAGACACGCGGCCGGGCTGCCCGTCCCCGGCCTCAGGTCCGGGCTGTTGTCTGAAAGTTCCCGCGGCGGGGCGAGCGGCGGGCCGGGCCGGGCCGGGCCGGGCCGGGGCCGCCCCCGGAGCCGCCCGGCCTCCCGAGCCCGCGGCCGGCCGAGCGCCCGGAGAGCGCGGGCAGGGCCGCCCGCCGCCCGCAGTGGCCTCCGGAGGCGAAGTCGAAGCGCCCCGAGCAGGCCCGGGCGCACTTTCACTTCTGCCCCCGGCGCCCCCGCGGCCCGCGCATCCCGGAGCCGGCGGCCCCGCCGCGGGCTCGGCCCGGACCCGGCCGCCGCGCCTCACCTGCTTTCTCGATCTTGCCGGACATTTCCGGGCTGCGCCGGAGGCCGAGGCCGCCGCTCATCGGGCCCGGCCCGGGCCGCTGCGGGAACCCCGGCCGGCGCGGCCGCCGCTCGCCTCGGCCCTGGCTCGCCGCGCCTCAGACCCGCGCCGGCATGTCGGGCTCCGCGGGCCGCGCCTGTGCGCTCGGCCAGCGGCGCTCCTGCCCGCCCGGGGCCGCCGCCGCTCCCGCCGCCAGCCGCCGCCGCCGCTCCGCCTTCTCGGCTCCTGCCGCCGCCGCCGCCGCTTCCCCAGGCCCGCGAGCCGGCGCAGCGCCGCGCCGCCGCCGCCCGCCGGGCCTCGGCCGCGGCCAGAGCGCCACCTGCCGGGCGTCCGCCGCGGCGCCGCGAGCCCAGCGCCCCCTGCCGGCCCGGAGCCGCTCTGCGCCTCTCTCCCTGGACGCAGCGCCCCCTGCCGGCCCGGAGTCTCCACGCCAGTGCTGGGGGCCGATCCCCCCCACCAGCACCACTGACCATGGGACGGAGTCTTCATGCCAGGACCTAGGGTGGACACCACCCCGAAGTCAGAATTCTGTGTAGGTCCGAGTTTTTAACCTGGTTCAGCAGGCCCATAGTCCATGCCAAGGCACAGGGCCGATCCCTTCTCCCATGACGTGGGTCTCAGCAGCCCCTGCTAGCCAACTCACCTGGCCAGGCCTAGGCCTGACCCCACCAAGATTCAGCGCTCCCGGCCATCCCAGAAGCTCCAGACCTGGGACTGACCTGACCAGGGTCTGATCTTACCTCTTCCCAGCTCACTTCTGAGACTCAGTAACCCCTGAGGGCAGAAGCCACCAGATTTCCCAGAGTCTCCATGCTAAGTCCTGGGCCCAGCTCATTAGGACACAAAGACCCCTGTCTGCCCTATTCATTCGACCCCAATGGGGACCAAGGCACCCTCCAGCCTGGAACTCAGCTGTGGGCCTTTTCTAGCCTAGTGATGAGTTCAGTAAAAGTCACTGAATGAAGAAGCAAAGATCCTACTGGGGCTAGGCACTGTGTCAGCTGCTGTGGGTCCCCCCAAAAAATGCACACTATTGATTCTTCTCTCCAAAAAGTTCATATTCTGGGGCATCAAAATAAATCATATAAGACAAGTATAAATAACAACAAATTTTAGTAACTCAAGGGATGTTCACATGTGGGAAAATCTCCTGCCCCTTCCCACCCGGCTCACTGTTCTTGACCCAAGAGAGAAATAAAAGAAGTAATGCAAAACCAACTCAGAGAAACCAACATGTAAATTAAGGATGTGGTGATGGGGACAGGACCTGGGAGAGGTGCCGGGAGAAGGAAAGATGGTTGATGTGGCAAGAAATTCCTACCTGGATCTCTCGCACACTGCTGGGTTCACTGGTTCTGTCACTGAGCTGGCCAGAGATGGTAGGCAAATTCCTGTCATCTGCTCCAACCCTCTTGGGGACAAGGGCAAAGCCAAATATTGACAAATCCATTTCTCTCTGCGATCTGATGAATGGCAGCTCTGAGCCAGAGTGGCACTGCCCAGCTTCCTTGGCAGCTTCATTGCCTGGCAGAACTGCCCTTGGCCCCAGACCCACCTCCCCAACACTCCCAAAGCTGTCCCCAATTTCTCCAGCTTCTGAGCTAAGAAGGGCCAGTATTTTAGGTGCAAAATCCTAGGTGCAAAGCAGAAAAGTAAATAGTAGGCCCAGCCAGGGGTTCATAAGAGTACAACTATATTTAATAAATCATGACATATCAAATGACAAGGGTTTTGCAAACACTGAAGTGCTTTGCCACTGGACGTCACTATGAATAAGGGCAAGGGCATTTGTTTAATAAAGCTATTCACTGACAGTGTCTCTAGCTGTATTGGACACACACACACAAGGTAATGAGGCAAAACCCCTAAAACTCTGTCCTTCCTACTTTGGGGCTTTCTCTCTGCTGTCTTTCTGTCTAGAATATTCTCTCCCCTCCACTGGGCTGCATCCTAGTCATCTTTAGCTCCTCGATGTAACTGTTACTTTTCGCCAGTGGGGCCAGCTCCCTGTACTGGTCAGGATGCTTGATTTTAATCAGAAACCCGGCCCAGCTTGATTAGGACAGAGGGGGATTTGTTGGCCATCCCAATGAGCAGCCCAAGGTTGCAGCCAGGACCAACACACTACCTCCATGCTTGGAGTCAACCACAGTGCTCCCCTGGCTGGCTCCGTTCTCAGGGGATCTCACTCCACAGGGTGGCAGAGCAGGGACCAGCAGACTCTCATGAGCCTAGTTTGAGTCACATGCCTGTCCTCAACCCAATGACTGCAGGCAAGGGGGTAGAATCCATAAATTGGCCAGGCCTGGGAATTGTGCCAAGCGCAAGGCAGCTGGGGAGTGGGTGCCTTAGAACCAGCAGTGGGGACTAGAGAAGGGCGGATGCTCAGAGCAGCATCAGGGGAAGAGATGCTGCTGATGAAGCAAAGTGCCATGTGGGCATCACAGCCAGCTGGGAGCCTCGCATCCTAGGACGGTCCTCCATGGCCCACACTTCCGAGGAGCTCTTTAATTCCCAGTGTCTGTTTACTGTCTGTCCCCTCTGGACACCGTGAGCTCCACGCAGGCAGGGACTGTGTCATCTGTACCCATGAGGTTTTAATTTATGGAGGTGACCGAGTGACGACAAGGAGAGGCCAGTGCCATTGAAAGAATCCATATTGGCGATTTCCCAAGAGGAGGGGCATACCATACCAGGCAGGGCCACGCGGGGAACGCTCAGGTGGTCTGGAGGCAGAAGACAGGAGCAAGGGGAAGGCTGAGGCCAGGGCCCTTATTGGGGCTTCTTTGGGAAAGGCAAGGCAGGGCGGGGTGAGCAGTGTAGGACTGACCAGTGGGAATAGTTGCAGCAGGCTCTGAGAGAGAAGGGTGGTCTCTAGTTGCCCGGCTCTGGGTTGACTTGGGGCAGAGGAAATGGTGGCTGGGGCTGTTGACTCAGGATTGGCTTGGTCCCTTTCCCATCTCTTCAAATGGGCTAGCCACTCCCAGGCAGCAAGGTCTTAAGATGTCAGATCATAAGATACAGAAAATGAAAAACGTTAGTGCAGGGACTGTGTCTGGCTCGCGCCCTGTGGCACCGACTGAACACAGCAAAGGAGGGAGCCGGTCCATACTGCATGGGTGCTGCCGGCTTCTCCCCACGCTCCGGGGAAGGACCAGCCAGGCGACCATCACACAGCCCTCCAGACTGGGCAAAGGACAACCAGGTGACCAGGAGCCTATCTGAGATGGGCCTGGGCCCTTTCCGGAAGGTCACACCAACTTCTTGGCATATGCAGACAGCACTCAGCTCCTGGGGCAGCAGGAGTTCTGGGAGACGAGGCAGGGACCGCAAAGGGAGGCTGGCAGGCCCAGGGCTCACCTCAGCTGGGATTGTTGGCACTCGGAGCAGGAAACCTGCCTGAGCTCTACCAGTTCCCCGAGGACAAGTTTATCTTCATGGCATCTTTATCGCAGATCAGAAGAGGAGGTGGAGCCCATTAATAGTAGCAGTGATGGTAATGAGGGCCGCCTGGGGCTGGCGTGTGCTCCGTGTGCTCCGTTGCTGCCCCACCTCACAGTAGACCCGGGAGGGTCAGGGTCTAAGTCATGTATCACACACACCAGTTTGATAACGGCAGAAAGAGGAATTGATTGAAAAGCACAGGGATGTGAAGATGGCAGCAGGCAGGACCAGAGGAAGGGTGAGTGTGTGAGAGAGTGAGCGAGTGTGTGAGAGAGTGTGAGTGGACGTGAAGGTGGATGACCAAACCCGAGCAGTGCAGAGCCACGGAGCAGAAGGTTCCTGTGCTGTGGACGGAGCAGCCGGCTACCATGGTGAGTGGCCCTTCAGAGCACTTTTCCCTGCACTGTGGGGAGGTCTCACCATTTAGGAAGATCCCAGGTCTTCCCTGGGAGGAGGCAGTGGGAGCGGCTAGGGCCCAGCAACCTGAGCCCACCAGCACACCTGGCACCATCGGACCAGTGGACACTCTGTGTCAACACAGACCAGTGCACAGTAGTGGAGCTGCCAAGGTGCTGGTCACAGAAGCTGCAGACAGCCTAGAACCCAGCACCATCCCCCATAGTAGCAGCCTGATCGGAGTCGAGATATACCCCCAGCAACAGAGGCTGGGGAGCAATCATCCATCCCTGGGCAACAGAAGCACAGACCAGCAGCTGAGACCCATCCCCAAAAACTACTGCAAAAGCTGAGCAGGAGTTGAGCCCCACATGGCAGCAGCACTCCCCAACCGCCAACAACGGGACCTGGGGCTCCACAGAGGCCTGTGCTGTCCAGTAGCCCACAAGACCAGTGGGAAGCCAGAGCCTGAGAGAGACTGGTGCGATCCAGCTACCTGCCTGCAGGACCTGCAGGATGTGGGGGCACCAAAGAGACCTGTGTGACCCAGCAGGGACTGTGCGATCCAGTTACCTGCAGGACCTGTGGGGTGCTGAAGCTCCAGAGAGGCCTGTGTGACCCAGCAGGGACTGTGCCATTTAGTTACCCGTGGGACCTGCAGGGTGATGAAGCACCAGAGAGGCCTGTGCAACCCAGCAGGGACTGTGCGATCCAGTTACCTGTGGGACCTGCGGGGTGCTGAAGCACCAGAGAGGTCTGTGCGACCCAGTAGCCCATAACATATGCATAGAGCTGGGTCCCCAAAGGGACTGTGCGATTCAGTTACCTGTGGGACCTGCAGCGTGCAGGGGCACCAGAGAGGCCTATGCGACCCAGCTGTGCACAAGATAGGCGTAGAGGATGTGAAAATGGAGGTGGAGTGAATGGAAGCTAGACATGATCTCCCAGAACCAATCGGGAATTACAACTAAAATAAAGACAAATCCTCAGACAAAAGCAACAAAAAAGCAGCAGGACAGGACCATATAACCAGGGACACTGGTAGGATCTGCAGAGGCGTGAGAGGGTGGCGGGCTGGGAGCCCACAGACAGCAGCAATCTTAGCTGTGAGCAGCACCCTTGGGGAATAAAGCCCAGAGCTGGGACAGAGCACTAATATAGCCACAGCCAATCACCTGGGGGTTCCGGC